AATAGGAAAGGTACAATTTCCCAAAATTGGTCATTTTATTTAACGTGTTATATATAACAAGTTCTAAATTCATTAATTATTATAAAATGTTATGCTAAAAACCAGAACAAGTTTACATTTTTAGCTTTTTTCATATCAGCATTTAATATTTTCAGCTAATTTGGTTTTTATATGTACAGTTTTTTTTGTTTGTGTTTAATAACACAATTGCTCTCTAAGGAACTCTTCTAGGAGGATTTTAGTGTTCTAGTATTAAAGGATACATTTTAATACAGTACCTGTAAATGATTTTTATTGTGTTTCATTGTTCACTTATACAAATTAAGAATAGGAAAGGTACAATTTCCCAAAATTGGTCATTTTATTTAACGTGTTATATATAACAAGTTCTAAATTCATTAATTATTATAAAATGTTACGCTAAAAACCAGAACAAGTTTACATTTTTAGCTTTTTTCATATCAGCATTTAATATTTTCAGTTAATTTGGTTTTTATATGTACAGTTTTTTTTGTTTTTGTTTAATAACACAATTGCTCTCTAATATTTCTGTCATGCCAAACATTTTAGAAAAAAATCTTTAAAAAAAATCAAATTCGGTCATAAATTTAATTTTAACATTTTACATCATAATCTGAGGTGTAGATACTGTGTTAGAAGTCATTAGCAAACCAGTCAGTATTTGTACATTTTAATTCAGAAACAATTTATTTTTACTTTTTGAATTTAAACTGATAGGCCTACTTAATTTGTGTTATCCATTAGGCTTGGTTGAGGATTTGAAGTCAAGACGTGATAAATATTTTAACATTGATTGAAAAATAATACAATTTCAAGAGATCAGATTTGCATTATATAAAAAAAAAAATCACCCTTACATTAAGTATAATGACAGTTAAAATGAGCCTGCTATTTAATCAATTATCCTGTGCATATTATAGAAGTCCTAACCAGTGTTGATACATCCCAGGGCATGAAAGGCAATTGACAGCAACTAAACAAAGAGTGTATAATTTTATTAAAGAGCTAATAAAACAAGGCCATGTTCAATATATCATTAAATTCAATAATTATAAATAATAATTGTAAAACTTTTGTTAGAAGCCTATAACTATAGGCTTGGCTTAAACTCAATAATGTAGAATGTTCAGTCACAGTTCATAGTTGTGGTTTTATTGGCGTTTCACAACTTCAAAGGTGTCTCATTTTAGAGTCGGAACTATAAGCTTTGTAAAAGCCGATCTGTAACACATGTAAGACTGTTCTGGCTGATGTCAGTGACTCACAGGAGATGAGACATCCTCTCCCGACACCTTCATGGAATTCTCTAGTGACACGGAGTATATGAGAAATTTGACTATCGGAAGGATTAATGAAAGGCAGATGCGTCGCTGAAAGTTTCAGCACATTTTGTTTGTCATTCTCACCATCAGTTAGTGTTGATCTTGAGTTTGAATCAAACCCAGGGCTGAGAAGCCCCATCTAGGAGTCATTACTGTGTTTATTTTAATGAGTGATCACTGAAAAATGCAAATAATGAATGGGATAAAACGAATAAACCATTTAAATTATAGTAAGGCATTTTTGAAGTGTTTCAGGAAGTCAAACATGTCGATTACATTATGTTTCTCTGAGAAACAGATTGTAGTCGCAGAGGATAAACAACAGATTTCTAAAGTTTTTGCGGTGCAGCTGGTAAGGGATGCACATGTGCTAAAGATCAGTCGTGTTTTTGCCTGGCAAATGATGAATGTTTCATTCAGATGTTTTGTGTGTGTTTTTGAATCAGGAATGCTGGTGGTGATTGTTCTTCTCCTCATCGCCATCATTGTCGTGGCTGCTTGGCAGAATTAATGAAGAGGATGTTTCTGAAGAGAAAGACGGCACATATACGGACTGCAGAGACGGTTAGAAAAGCCGTCTGAGGTGAACGAGAGATACTCCGCTTTCAAGCAGGCTGTATGTGTAAACACACATCTCTAAACCCCTCTCCTGTCCTCTTTTATGAAAAGAATGGAACCCATGACTGGGTTAAAGCCAAGGAATGGACCACTATGAAGAACTAAAATTCTTAGCTCCTCAGATAATGATCAAAGTAGGATTCGGAATGGAAGGAAAAATAGAAAAGAGCTTTGAAAGCTTTTGAATACTATGAATATAACCATGAGCTCGAGATGCTCCAAGGAGGGAAAACCTATTTAAATTCTTTGTTTGGCAGTGAAGAAAATGATCCAAATCCATCCTATGAGTCACAAAGCAATACAAAAATATATGTATATACAGTATAATTAAAATGTATTATCTTTTCTCTTCTCTTTCATTATCCACTAAACTAGATTTACAGTTCAGATTCTATTTCGTAAGTATTTTTTTTTTCATTAACACTTTTCTGTAAATAGTTTTTAGCCTGAAAATGTGACGGTTAGAAATTCTAATAAATGTAGTTAACACAGCATGGTCTCAGCTGTTTGTTTTTTTTGGGGGGGGGGGATAAAATCTTAAATTAGATATTGTCATACATGTTAGTGCTGATGATATATATATATATTTTTTTTTTTAACATTTGTCACGGTTGTTCTTATTTCCTTAAATCTTTACCGTAATAACCGTAACATACAAACAAATCTTAATTTATTACTTTTTTTAAATCAAAATTATATGCAGGGGCAAAAAATGAAAAGGCACACTAGTAATGTTTTGAGATTTTATTCCAAATGAATGCTGAATGTAGTTCTACCAGGCTGGCGTTCAGTAGTTATCTTCCCCTTTGGATTTTAATCACAACCATCTAAACAACCACAAACTGTAATAAAAAAAAAAAAAATTCACAATGTCTTGTGTCATTAAATATTTTCTTATAATAACCATAATATATTAGTATGCATTGTAAAACAATATTGCAGACGTCTTGTATTTGCCACAGCTAAATTTACAATTCATTATATGAACAAGAAGCAATGTATGGAAGGTCTGCTGGTAATGTCAAATACAGGAGCCATCGTTCCACTGCTGCGAAAAGTAAAAACTGAACATAAATTTACATCATTGGAATACTTAAAATAAAAATGAGTGTGCACTAAGATACTGAGTGCCAAACAAAATACATGTACATGTGGTATTACGAATATTGTTTGGAACCGGTAAATACAACATATGTATAAATATCTGTATGTCATACATTGTGTACATTTACAAGAAGTAATCATTGAGTAAAGATGATAATTACTGCACACGTAAACCGTTCATCAAATCTGTTTTTTTTTTCTCTCTCTCCCTTTTTTTTTTTTTATTTGATGCTGAGACGATCAGTTCTTGCGGTTTATTTTCTTACTGATCTGTGAAGGACTGACCACACAAGAAAACGTCAAGTGACCCTCAAAGATCAGTGCAAAAGCTGTACTTTAGAGAACGTCCGTCTCATTAGTAACAAGAAGTGTGTGTGTGCGTGTGTGTGTATGAGCAGCGTTTCTCACAGTGAAGAGAATTCTCTATTGTAGCGAAACATTACTGTACATGCATTCCTACATTCACAGACCCTAATGAACATGGACATTTTAAAGGAGAGATGCTGTTGCTTTACAAAACTAAATGCTAATTAATGAATACTAGTTAAAGGTAATTCGTACACTTCTAAATACTGTTTTACACACAAGGAAAAATATTAACTGTACACACCATTCTACCAACACTTTCAGGACTCACGGAAAGGCCTGTTTATACAGTGGACTCGTCGCATTGAAGTTCTGTTTTAACAAAAGGACATCATCATCCATGTCTGGACTATAAACAGTTGAATCAGAGCATCAAATGGAGCAAGAAATTATGTTTGTATTTAGAGTCATCTGCCTCAGTCATCATGTCTTATACAAAAATATACATGGTGGTTTTATTCCAAGTTCAAAAATAATTGTAAATCCATGCTAATAATTTTAGGAATTATACAAGCATGCTATTACATTTTTTATAGATCTTAAAACAGTTGTCAACACTTATGAGTACAGAAATGTGGCATGACTCACGACACATGGCTTAAACAGAAAATAATAATAATTCTACCAAACATTTGTGTCCGTTGAAGAGAACGGGCACTACTTTAAAAATGTACAAAGCTTCTTTTCAGCAACTGTTAGAGGATTCTTTCACCTTTGAATTAGCGAACTGTGGGCCACCACCAACAAAAAGGCAGCCTGAAACGTACATTAAACAGAAACCTTGATTTGCTTTTGTTGTTCATTTGCTGGGACAGATTCAGAGTCTGTCGTGATCTGGGTAAAACCCAGCAGCACCAGTCTTCAAAGATTAGTAGTGTTATTTGAAATATTATACATGTTACACTGTACAAGAGCTTTTCTATGCTGTCCTTTTCATTCTGTTTGCAGCTGAATTTAATGATAAACCGCAACAAAAATTGCAACAATAATTGAATGAATAATTCTAAAAACAATATGCACAAATATATGCATAAAATTGTGTTTTTCATGCAGGTTGTTACAAAGTGATACTTTTTAAACTACTTTTCAGACCTTGAAAAAAGAATATTTTAAATTGGCTTAAGAAGAGCAAATTAGTTTTGATATCTGTCATATTAAAAATTCCTACCGAAACCCGAATTTAGACATTTTTGAAATGTTGGCATCTCAGATGCCATTATGCATTATGCATAAGTTAGAGCATATGAATTATTAAACGCTAAAGCTCATTAATAAAAATGCTTTATTTTTGTAAATTAAGAACTGTTACTTTATTTATTTATTGCTGTAAAAATGTTCTCCGATTTTTGATGTATCAATCCCCAGGTTGTTTTTAGAATATTGATTATGGCTTAGTCTGATTCTCAACCAGACTGAAACGGTCCAAAATGGATCTGAAAGCCATTTAACATAAAATACCTTTCTTTATGCTGGACACAGGTGCAAAATTGGCAAACAAATCTTGAAGGAAACAAATAAGAAATGAAAACTGCATCGTGAACTCCTTCACACGTTCCTATTTAAAAAAAAAAAAAGTTAGTCTCTTCATGCCTTTATTCAAAGTAGCGGTGCTAAGTCCCTCCTGTTTCTTCTCTTCCTTTCCCTTATCATCTTTTCATCCACCACTCGTCTGTTGTTTCTCTGTCCAGCTCTTGATGACAACCTCTTTCCATTTCAACCTCACTATGCTTTCTTGCATTTTCCTTTCTTCTCCCGCTGCTGAAACTTCCGTAGTCTTCGAGCCCAAGTGTCCCTCCACTGAATGACCAGACTGCCCTTGTCTGCCACCACACCGCTTTGTCCAGGGGAATCCTCATCGTTGCCCAGCAGCAGGTACTTTTTTCCGGGCTTGATCTTCGGGCACTTGCAGGCCACATCCTTTGCTCTGACCCACAAAAACTGATCTCCTCTGCGGATTCGGCTTTCACCCTGTTTGTAGACAGAGATGATGTTGACGGTGAACTTCCACCACTCGGCGGCTTTGTCTGCCTTTAGGACATGGACCTGAACAGCTGGTAGAATAACAGAAAATGCGAAACAGAATTAGCTACTTTTCCTGTATTAATACAGATGGGCGACATTATATTTTAAGCAGTTTCAGCAGTGTCCTGTGGTGTTTAAAACGACTTCATTTAATTCAAATAGAAACGATCAAAACGTTAACGTTTAAAACTACTTTAGACGATATGAATTGAGAAACTACATGGAATATTGTTGTACTTTTTAAAACTCGTTCGTCATATAGCAGGACCACTGAAATTAATCTGTGAATGGACCAAAAAAAAAAAAAAGGTTCAACATGTTTAAACTTGAAATTTGGCCATTTGCACAACATATATAAATGTACATGTTCTTTTATATACATAATGAGGCCTGAAAGTCTGAGACAACTAGTGTTTATATATATATATATATATATATATATATAATTTAATACAAATGTTTCTATTACAAATTATATTATCAGCACAAAAGTTGAACAGAAAAATGCTAATTAATTTACTATTAATTAGTAACTAATAAACTATTTCTTCTTTTTAATTTTTAATCCCTTTTTTGTTACTGCTGTTGTTTTAAAATGTTCAAATTCCTACATTTTTGTCTATTAATTTCCAGGTTTAAATTACATTTTAAATTGCAGTTTTTGTGTGTGGTCTTAGACTTTTGGACCCCACTGCATATGTAAATTTTATCCTAAAATATTTGCTGCATAAATACATATACATACACTGTGCCATAAAATGTGCCGTGTGCCTAAATTAACAGCCACGACTGAAATGATAGTTCTCCTGCATGTTCAGAGTCTGGCTCTGATTCTGATTAAGTCGTTTGTATCGTCTCGTTTGCCTCAGCAATGCAGGTCAACCTTCAGTTTAAAGTGCTTTCAAATAAATCATGTAACTCAAACCTCGCCACAGTTTGAGATTCCTTGCAAGTGTGAATCCTCAAAATCTGCTTAAACTGCCTGTAGACTCATGCTGTTCCCCTTTCATTATTAATAGCCTTCAAGGTGCTTTGTAAGGTGACTTTGACAAAAAAAAAAGACACCTTACAAAAAAGGCAAAACAGACAGATTTAATTTCGTCTGCGTAATGCTTTGCGCTTGACTAAGACTGAGCCTGTATCATGCAGGTTAATGGTTGGTGGTCTATTTATGTATCTGTCCCTTTACATACTTTCCTCTGTATTTTAAGGCTAGAATTCACGTTTTTCACAAGTTTCCTTTATTACCATTATAAGGATCCCTTTTCACATTTACACACAGCTTCCCACTAGCCTAAGCTTAAACTTCTCATTTGTATCAGGTGCCAGGATTTCCAAAGTTCTTTAATAGCAAAAAAAAAAAAAAAAAAAAGAATAAAAA